CTCCTCGCCGGTTGGGTCGCGCGCGTCGCCCCCTTTTCCAAACAAGCAGCCAAAAAGGAGAGGTTGAAGACGGAGAGAGAAAAACTCTCTCTTTCATCTTTCCCCTCTCCCCCCAATTGCTTCTTGCATTAGGCCAGGCAAGAGATTCCACTTTGACCGAGACGGGGGAGGGGGGTGGAGCCCCGTGGTCTCTGTCCCATGCCCAGGGGAGCCCTCGCCCAAGCTCCGTGGAGCTCCAGCAACAAGTCGGTCCCCCCCCCCTTCCTTCTCTTCGTGTCTGCAAGGATGACGGGTGACGGCGACGGCATGCTTTGAAATCGAAACTGGAAGGCCGACCGTTTCCGTTACTAACCAGAATGGCCAGGAGTGAATGGATCCCTTCTCCCCCATTAAAAAAAACAAAACAAAAACAAAACCAGCCCCATTATTGTGGGTGGGGGGAAGATGGCATTGGCGCTGGGTTTTATGATCCATACGTGAAAATTATTTTGGGACAAGACAGCCGCCTGTTTTAGTAAGGTCGTGTAAAACTGTGGCTGAAAGTGTGTGCAGTTGTACCCTTCTTGATCCTTGGAAAGAGTGGTTAAAACGCGTTAAGGGGTAATTTGCTTAAAATTATGGTTGCTTTCCTTTCCCCTTTGCTTTCTCCACCCAGTCTCAGCTTGTGAGAAAATGGGATGGTTCTCTTATTAGTCTTATTCCTTTGATTGCACCCAACACAGACACATTCTGGTAGGCCAAGCTCCCAGAAAGGTTGAGCTGTTGTGTTCAGTTCTTTAAAAGGAGATGGTGGTTGGTGTGAGGGCGTCTGAACTCCACAGTATAGAGCAGCTCACTTTCATTTGATGCTCAGTTTGTTCTTTGACACGTTACATTCAGTGTGTAGATACATCCGCATGTATTCCTGTAGACGGAATCTTTTGTTTTAGAGATGACCCGCAAGAAATTTAACTGAGGGGGAAAGTAGTTACGTTTTCTTACTTAATTATTTGAATAAATACACAATAACTGCAGAGTGACTCAGTAATTGTGATGACTTTAGTTATATACTGTCCTAGAATAAGTGTACTTGCTGCAGTTAGATTACATCTAATAACTTCACACACTTGCTAGTGTTTTTCTTCAAATTCACTGTATATGACTACAAATGCATTGGTTTGTGTTAGGAATTTCACAGAACATTGATCAAACTTTTAAAACTATTTTAAAAATAATATTAGTATATTAGTATTTCTCTAAAATGTTTTGGAAAATGCAGAGTCCTGGCTTAATTTTGGCTAAGTAATATTTTGGCAAGTATTAACTTTAGGATCTTGAATTAATTGATTTGTTGGTTTTAGCCAGTGGGAGGCCCACTTCCCATTCTTAGAAAGAATTCTGCTCTGTGAATAATACAGTATGGTTAATTCAGTTCTTAGACTGTTCTGCAGATAGTGGGCAAACAAGTACTTCAGAGTTTCGGAGCCTGAAATGCTAGTTAATTAAGCCCGGGCACTTTTTTCTAGAGTTTTGTGTGTTCATTGATTTGTAGGTAGCACCATGGGGTGTTAGTGATGAAAGGCGGGGCGGGGTGGGGAGGAAAGAAGCAAAGAGAGTGAGCCTTTTACTGGAAGGGCTGTATGTTTTGCATGCGGATGTGAGTCGGCCTGCTGGTCTGGAACACACCGATAAGATGCTCTTCTTTTCACAGTGCACTCCTTGAATTCAAAGAGCTAAAAGGGCTGACTGAATCAGAAAAACAAACAGACTTCTCTTTGAATAGGGAGAGGGGGGGGAATGAATGTGTGGTCATTATGCAGTCCTAAGACCCTGGGTACCAAGGATTCCTTTTATTGGCATCAAGCCATTCTTTGGTACAACACTTCCCCACCCAGGGGGCCATGGAATGCGGGAGTGCATTTTAGTCTGGATAAACTCCTGTTGGATTTAATTGGGGCAAACTTGTAGTTCCTGGTCGCTTTCTGTGATCTTAGTTTTGTTTGAGGTCTTTTATCAATATTTGTGATAAAAAGTTGAGTGAAGCTGATTCGGCCAAACTAGTAGCAAAATACAGAAAAAATCTGGTCTTAGTAGAAAAATCATGTTAGTTGTACTGAAATTGTACGAGAGTATTTAGCAGTTGGAATAACCTGTGTTTTGTTTTTCAAAATGGGTGTATTTGTGTAAGTTTGTTTAGCAGAATTATTTAGGTTTAAAAATTGTAATATAAATTAAGAGGAAATACTGTACTAGCATTTTTGCCCTGTACAACCCCTTTAAAGCAACCCCTGTATGAAGTAACAGGATTTAGGTAGGATTTTTTTTTCCTTCTGAAACTGAGTTTTTAAAAATACTGTATGAGAACATTCATAGTGTTTTGGTATGAGCCCCTATAATGAAGCTGAACAGACACAAATGTGCCATGTGCAATATTATAGCATTCCAAACTACAGCAGATAGTCTATGTCAACATTTATCAAATTGTTTTTGTAGTAGTTTTTCTAAAAATATAAATATATGATGCAGCGATATTCATGTTTGTTCAGAAATCTGCTGTATTCAGTGAGGTATATTCCCTGGGAAGTGAGTATAGGATTGCAGCCTTAATTGCTGGCAGGGCTGGGTAATGGGCTGAAACTAGCCAAAGAAACCCAGCCTGTCCAATGGAAAGAAGCTGCTTGCCAGTTTCAAACTTTGAAAGCATATCTCTGCCTCTTCCATTGAGCGCACTAGCCTTTTTCTGGCAAAATCCCCTGCTTGTGTTACAAAGGAATGCACATTTCCTGTCCTTTGAATAAAAAGACCTGGTCTACTTTGTTCTGTTTCTCTCCTCTGTATTCTGTATTATTTCTAGGAGTCAGTCAGCAGCAAACACTTTTCTTTTCCAGGTCAGAAAGAGATAGGTGGTGCCTCATCTTTTCCGGTACTCTAGCATGTCACTGTGAGCAGTAAACACTGATCTCTGAAGTCATCTGTTAAACAGGATTTTCCTGCATCATGGACAGAATGGAGCATGCTAAAGTACCCGCCTTGAGCTCAGAGTTACTTATGAGGCTGTTGTGAGGTTGGCAGTAGCTTGATGGTTAGTACCTAACCATTGAATGCAATGGTAATGCACACATATTCTTCTTCTAGTTGTTTATTCATATTTAAATAGTAGTTATCCAAGCAAATAGTATTAAAAGTCTTAAAATTCTCTGTGTTTTTCAGGACATGATATTTAAAAGTTAAAATGACATTTTAGGGACAAAATCCTACTTCATTGGACGTGTGTCTGGATTTCAGGGCTTTTCCCAGAGATACATTATTGTGAAACATTTCTGAAAAATCTGTTTGGATTTTGTAAATTGGAACTGTTCCTTTGTAACTGTAGTTGCAAAAATGAATGCAGAATACAAATGTTTTCATAGGGAATAAAAATAGTGGTTTTTTTATCCTGTGGTTTTGGTCTCTTGTGAATGATAGTATGGCACAGAGCAGTTTAGTAAATTTTGGCTTGTATTTGAATTACAGGTGTGAAAAAATGGGATAAAACACATTTTCTTTACTTGCGAAAACAAGGTTGGCTTTTTCTTTCTGCACAGTTACAATCTATAGAGCACCTAGAGAAGGTTGATCAGATTTTTTTTCAGCCTTTGTAGGCACTGAGCTAGCTTTCCTTCCTATTGGAATTCTGTTAAATGGTGGGCTGGTGATGACTCAGACAGAATGAATAATTAAGTAGCTCAATAGACTTTTTTAGTGAGTGGATGTTGCTTAAGATGAATTGATTTCGACTCGTTTTTTGAAATGTTCTTTTTTTTACCCCTTCCCA